AAATTATGTTTTCCGAGGACTATGAAAAAGGTCCTCGGAAGGTGTGTATGTCCTCGGAAGTAGGTATATATCTGTATTTTTGTCCTCGCAACATATAGCAATCCAAATACACACACACCCACACAGACACACTAACTGCAAAGACTCTCATTGTGTGCTTCGCACACGGGAGTCAAAAAGTCAAAAGCGCATCGGTAGACATATGCAACCCCGGGAGGAGTCAGCAGCATATTTAAAACATTTTTCTAAAGATAGTGGAGTGTGTTGTTGGGTACAAACGAGGGCAACTAGAAGTTGAAAAAGATGATTTTTCAAAAAAATTGAATGAAATAGAGATGGTACATGTGTGTTCCACAGAGTAAAATATGACCTCCAAAATTCTCGCAAAAAAATTTCAACTCCCAAAATCTGTCCTACCTTTCGGTTTGTTGATCCCAGGTCATGTGCAATTACACAGGCACTTTAATGCACGCCTGTTATATAATACGTATTACTGTTACAGTAATAAGACTAATCAATTCAGGTTGAGATGTAATGAATATACAAATATACAACAGTAACATCAAAAACTCAGGGGTGGAAGAATTGAAAATAAATGAAAACAAAATCTTGCAGGAATCAAAGACAGAAGGAAAAATTGTGCACGGCTAAATTTTATTAAATATTTCACACATTGAAAAAAACTTCATCACGGAGAAAGACAGTGCAGAAGGGGAATATTTTGCATATTTTTTTTGATATCACCCACCTAGAGTTTCTAACGGTCAACCAATTCCACATTTCATCTTGTATTAGTTGAATCATGATTTGTGATTCGAGGACTATCCTAACCCACACCCTTGGGCTGTGTTGTATACATTACGAAAGCCGGGTTACGAGTCGTGAAGTTACAGGTCAGTACTTCACCACCCCACCCCTCCTCTCCACACACAACCCGCGGCCCCAAGAGCCATTGGCATTGCGATGCCAGTCGCAGCGTACGTTGCCTGGTCTAGTATATCTTCGGATGGCTTGGCTCCTTGATTCAACGCAAATCCACAGGACAGAATAACACAAATTAAGTACGTCGTCGTCGTTGACAGCTTCAGTAAATAAGAATATATAATTACCTGGTCAGCACGCCGCGCCCCTATTTACGACACTTTTACACCATGACCTCAATAGTGAACTCGTAGCCTCGATCGCCGCTACAAAATTGATAACACCGAAGTACTAGTTCCAAAAACTTTACATTGGTGCATCGAGTACACCTCAAACGATGTCTAGCATTACAACCCAGAAACTATCCTGACATTATAAATTGTTGGTAATACAGTATCTTCGAGTTGGCGCCACGAGAGGGCGCTCTTCCTCAATTAATAAGCGGGTTAGAAAATCTAAAGAAAGTTTGTTTTTGGCAAGTCTTGATAACAGATTAAATCGACAAAAGTCAAAAAGTAAGTTTCAATGATGATATAAAGTCAAAAAACCATATGATTTGGATGCTATCACACAATTCATATTAAAATAACACTAGGGACTGGACAAAAAGTATATAGGTAGGCCTGTGTTTTTGAAAGTCGCGTACATAAAAATATATGACCCTTCACAAACATTTGCATGTAATTTGCTGACCTCCCCTCTTTCTTAGTGTAAGGATAGTATATGTATTAAAACCATATATACATACTACGATATGATATTCTACGACACAGCTTAGAACTTTTCTACTACAATCAGTTGCCCCGGCTCTCATTGAGAAGAGAACGATGTATGATACTGTGTATGTACCACATTAAGGTGATACATACACAAAGCCTTCGATAGTGTTTGGAGAGAAGGACTTCTTTTTAAATTGGCTAATGCAGGAGTAACAGAAAAATTAATCCACTTGATAAAATCAATGTATAGTAATACTAAATAC